ATGTATGGGCAGAGGTAAGAGCAGGAGGCCGGCCTTGGTCAAATGAAAAGTCTCCATCATGACAACACTATCACTCTTAGGTGACTTGACCAAGAAGATGCTGTCAGGCCCAACTCCTTTCTGGCCTGTACCTGGTTAGCAGCATAGCTTCAAAAGACAGCTTAAGAGAATGAAAACTATTCATTAAATGTATCATTTGTATCTTGAGTGGAATAAATTTTTAATCATTGCAGTCCCAAAGAACCAAATGTATAACTAAAAAAAGGAAATACTTATATAAAAAGCTGAGTACTAAAAAGGCAGGACAACAGGGAAGAAAGGAGGCTGAAGAGGAGACAAAGTGAAGAGGAGGAAAGAGGAGCATTCTTAAAGGGTCATATAGTCTGAAGTACCCTTGATATGACCATGAACTGAACAGCTCTGCCCTGCTGAAATCATCACAGGCCCCACCTTCTTCCCCATTTCAGCAGATGCCAGTCTCTCATCAAATCCTAGACTGCCCCTGAATTCCAACACATTTGGGCTAGCAGATAATAATAAGCTTTAGCAGCAAACACTTCATAGGTCTGCTTTAAGGCGCTAAAGCCCTCAACACTCCTAAGAAATATTGCTGGCTTTGGCCCCTATGGTGGAGTGAGCAAAGTGCCTGTGACCCCATCAACGCTGGAGCCGTTCCTGTTCTCGGAATGATGCTCTCCCTCCCCACCAAGACCCACACTCAAAACAGTATGCTTATAAAAATGAAGAGATTTGAATTCAGGACATGGTGGGAGGAGAGGAAGAGGAGAGTACGGTTGAGGAAGGGAGAAGAGGAGAGATGGAAATTGTTTCTACTTTCTGTTTTGTCAGAGCTGTTTCTCCTCAAAGGGCCAAACTTTAGGCGAGGCGTTCATTCAATGAGTGTGCATGCAGAGGCTGAAGACCCTTTGGTAGGAACTTAGAGGTAGGAATTTACAACTGCAGGATTCATCTGGGCTGCATGACCTGATAGACCCCATTCAAGAAATGCAAGCTCCACGCATCACATTCTTTCTTTCTTGGGGATTTGGCAAAATTAGACTAACACCATGGAAAACCCACTTTTCTTCCCTGCAATCTCTTAAAAACTCTGCCCAGATGCAGATGTTTACAAATGAGCATGTGGCCAGTGAATGCTGGGGAAGTAACTTAAAGTTGCTAATTCACATTCTTCCCAGAACTCATTGGTCCTTTGGAGCTAAGGACAGAAACTGAAGCAGTCAGGTCCGCCGACCACCCAGGCCCTCTGCACCCTCTGAACTTCAAACTTACACAGTTCCTGAGCTCCCATCTAGGGAACTTTCACCCTTTCCTTTTCAATATATGAGGGACATAAAAGGGAAGCTAAAATACAAATGTACAGAAAGCTTATTATTTAGATGGTGCAATTCCTTCATGAGCGAATGTCTTAGGTTACCCTCTCCATAAAACTAGACTGCCCTCCAACCAAACATTGCTTTGAGCCTCTAGTTTCTTTGGAAAAGCCTGGCCCTGGAGAGTTCTGTGAAGGAACTTTTTCTCCCCTTGAGGCACATGATCTAGCAATTTCTTGTATACACTCCAACACCGGGGTGCATGGCGTGCGACATAGTTTGGCTTTCTTCGTACCGTCTGACACCTCTCATGTATTTTCTTACCAGGGCTCTTATACTGCTGTTAAGAGTCAAATCCCTCCTGGAAGGGAGTCCGGGCAACCCCAGAGGTAATAAAGCATAAAGGTTTTAGGGCATTGACGCTCGCCCCGCATATTTAGAGATCTAATTTTGTAAAAAAAGAACTCTGTTCTTCCTGTAAGGGTCTAGATTCAGACTTCAGTGCCAAAATAAGTGAACTGCTTTTGCAGTTCAGTCAGTAGATTAATCATTTGCTCAGCCAGCTGGCAAATCCTAAGTGTTGTGGATGTGAGCTAATCCACCAGAGGATGTCTGTTTTGTGGCTCACAGCATCACCTCTACTCTACAGCTCAGCTGAGCCAGGACACTGGGGCCAGAGAAAGAGGAGGCGCGCCAACTCATTTCTGACCAAACATTGAAACACAGCCATTATTTTGCATTATCAGTCCCTGCAACCTTCCTCCAGTGTCACTCATCACACATTAACTGCTTCAGCTTCCTTAAACTCTTTAGATTGAAGATACAAAGATATAAAATACAGCAGCTGTAAAAATCTATGGGCTCTCCCTCCCTTTCCAGCTGCGTGTCCACCAGATATTTTTCTTTGAAAAATCCAAACTCTGTTGAAGCACTTATTGCATTCTTTTCTAGACATTTCCCTTGTGTCATATAATTTTCTTCTTTTTTGGGTGGGACTGGGGTTTGAACTTGGGGCTTCAGGCTTGCAAAGCATGTGCTCTACTGCTTGAGCCATGCCTCCAGCCCTGCTATTTTCTTTTCTAATACCAAAATAGACTAGGCTCAGTTCCTTTTAAAATCACAATTTATCTACTCTTTTGCTATTAAGATATGGGCCTTTGAGGCTACCAACAGACCTCCCTATCATGGCTTTGTTTTAGGTTAAGGATGTCTAATTGCTGGAATGGTGATGGCAGAGAGAACCTTTCCCTTTACCTCAAGACAAGAGCTTCTGAGTGTCAAGATGCTGGCATAGCAGTCTCGTAGAGGACTCCAGCCACAATTGGCCAATCTTTGAGCCAAACCTTAGGACTGGAAATACAGTGACACTGTACACTATAGCTACTTCTAGCGTCCAAGCTACAAGAATTCCTGAGAATCTGAGGTTAATGAATGAAATTTGTCAGGAGTAAGGTATCAAAGGGATCTTGCCACTCTGGAGGGCCAATTGGTGCTTAGCATCTAGAAAGTAGACCTTGGCACAGTGTTATCTGATTTCTTGAATTTATTCTCTGAAGTAGCACCTTAACACAGGCTCACCTGCCCCAAATCAAGAACAGAGCCTACAAAAAACACAAGGGCAAATGAGACACCCTCTGTGTCACTGCTGCACTATGCAATATGACCAAACTTTCCCTTGCCATTAAATACCAGACATAGTAGCGTTTCCAGTTTTTCAAACTTTAGTGGGGAAGGACAGCTAATAAGATAAGCATTGAACTGGAAATATACAGATAAGAACTTTGATCTCTACATGATATACATGGCAGTCAGGCAAAGAGTCTCATCTCGAAGGAAGAGCTCAGTGGCGTGGAAGGGACAAAAGACATAAAGTTACCAAGCCATGATTATGACACCATGTACCCTGGAGCATTTTTTTTTCCTGTTCATTATATGCTAGAATGATATACTTGAAAGGAGAAACTCTGGTGGCTACCTTGATATTTTAAAAAGATAAAAATTAAAATAAGCCTTGGCTACCCAGCTCTGGGCAATAAAAAAAGATCTTCCGATTTTGGAAAGAACTAGAAGTAAAAAGTCCTAGACACAGGGATCAACAACTTTTAAAATGAGGTACACTGTGCTGATTAGGGGATGGTGGATACAGGGGAATGTGCCAAGTGACTACTGCTTCTGGATAGGAAGGATGGTGGGAAGAGCAGGGAACCAACTTGTAAAATGGACAAGGCTGAACTCTTAGTCCTGACAGTGCAGTCTTACTGGAATGGGCACCTGGGGCAGAAATGGAGGCACAGCAGCAGCATGTGGGCCACACGGCAAACAAAAGTGCTGCGTATCTTCTACATGTGCTATAAGAGTTCTGAGCCTTGGCTTACAATTTAACTAGGCTTAGTAGTTTTTTTGTTTTGTTTTGTTTTTTTGTTATTAGGAATGATTAACCAGGCATAGTGCTCATTTGCAGAAAAGACTCAGTACTGAGGAGGAGGAGGCAGAACAGAACGGAGGGGTAGAAATTGCCCGTGGATGAAACTATAGAAAATGAAATAGTGGTCAGAAGGATGCTGGTGGCTGTTTTATTCCACCAGGTGTCCCTATAATGTGATTAAAAAAAAACTGCAATAAATGTGGCAGGAAATTGAGACAGGCACCTTTTCAATTGGATACAAGCACCTTTGGTGTCACCAGGCCTTGTCCATACCCTTGGGTCTTAGAATGGCTTTATTTATAATTCTGAGGACTCTCAAGGGAGTCACTGTTGCCTATCCTGTTCCAATTCCTTCAACATAATCGAAAGAATCCCAAGCCTAATCTATGCTCATGGGGATAACACTGGCCTGTTGTACATACTTGATGCTGGGAGGAACATGAATGCCCAGTTGTTTTAGTACAAAGGAATGCATGAGGATGCCAATGCAGCTCTGAATCTTCCCTGGTTTACCAGTATGCAGTCTCGACTTGGCTCCCTTTATTGTTCTTACATATTCCAGAAGCCTAAAGCACCATCATTCGTGGAGGTGGCGTCTGGGTAAGAGGATTAGTTAGGACCTCACAAAAATGTGAAATTCCTAGTCATTGACTTTGTTTAGGACTTTGCTAATCATTTCAAGGAAGCAGGAAGAAATTCTTCCTTGCTACTAACAAATTTGTGGCAAAGTCCTTGTCTACTGGTTAACAAATACCATCTGGAAAATTACCCTTTTTGCGGACAAGGAGAAAGTTCTATAACTTATCTTTATGCACTTCAAAAGAGTACCAGGAACAAGCGAGCTATAAAAGTCAACCTCTCTAAATTTGTTTAGAGGAGATTAACCAAAGCAGCATTGTCTTATAATCAGAAATTAAAATTAACATATACATACACACATAACAAACTAATAATGCTAAATATTGTAACAGAAACAAAGATAAGATTTGAATTGAATCTTCACAGTCTAGAAAATACCATTACTATTTTCCTTCTGGCTTTCCTCTCTGTGGTTTGAACAGCAAAGCCCCTTAGTTTACACTTCATCTTCCACCAATGAATGACAGATCCCACAAAAGTGACTTTGTCATGAATTTCCTGTGGGCTATATGTCAGGACGGCTGGAATTTTTCTTGCATAGTTTTTGGTGATTGCATATTGGCTAACAATTATTTTTAAATTAAAAAAAAATTTTAAAGATATAATTAAACCATAGCAATCTTGTTTACTCTTTCATGAAATCTTTCTAATGCAACATCACAGAAGCCTAACTGTATTTTCCCCTAAAAAGATTAATTTCCAGAGATTATGTAGTGCAACTGGTTAACTTGTAGGAAAGAGACAACACACTAATATGACTTCACCATCCAAATATGGGAAATGTGTTTTGGGTACCCAGTTAATAAAACATATCCATGGTCTGCAATGTCCTTCCTGTTTTAAATCCACAACAACCCCGTGACTCTAGTTGAAGAGAATGGAATCAGGATCTTGGTTCGCCATCTGTGCTATGTGTTTCAACACATCCTTTTTGGTAATGATTCCGAGCAATCGCCTGAAAGACAAACACAACACAACCAAACAAAAATAAATGTACAGTTAAAGCAGCACTCGCAAAGGTGACACTTGTCCTCTCAGCCCCTTTCCACCTTATCTTTAAACACTTCCAGAATGATGAGATCACAGGAATGCAAAGTATACAGGTCCCTAAATAGAAGCAAACTTTTCTACCTCTAGGTCTCAAGTCCTATAATTTCCTCTGTGTTAAATCTTAGCTATCCCTAACCCAGTTCAAGTGTCCCCTGTTCTAGAACCTGATCCTCTGCCTTGCTCCCAGCAACAGTGTGTTCTCTGCAGGCCTCTTCGGCAGTACTTGTGTGTGCCTGCCTTCCCTATGACACTGCACACTGCTTGAGGATAGAGAAAGGCCTCATTCATTTCTGTGTCTCCCCAGAATCCAGTGGAATACCTTTTTAAATGAAGTAGGGATTCATTAAACGTTGAAAAAAACAATTAGGGAAAGTCCCCTTACTGATTTAGTTCCTGTGACACAACTGTTACACACAACTTCAACATTTTAGAGGAGGGGAAGTTCTTATACACAAAGCATGTTCAGAAAAACTCCATCCCTCTCCTCAACTTCCATTCTTTTCCAATAAAAATAGCAGGACTTCCTTACTGGACAAGAAATATCCTAGAGAGGAAAGAGTCTTGGGCTTGGGAGTCAGAAGGCTTATAGTTAAAAGCCTACCTCTACTACTTATTAACTGGGGACCCTCATGAAAATCATTACACCTCACTGAAACTTGGTTTCTTGTCCTCAAATGATAACAACAAAGGAATTTAAAGGGCCAAATACAAGTAAGTAGCCAGCTCTTGTCTGTGGTTTTGCTTTCAGGTATCCATGGTCAACAGTGGTTCAAAAACAAAATACAGTAAAATAAGGTATTTTAAACTTTAGAGAGAAAGATTACATTCACATAACTTTATTATATTGCTATAATTTGTTTTATTTTACATTTATTTCTCTTACTCTCTTACTGATGCTGATTTATAAAAATTAAATGTTATTATTAACATGTATACATGTATAGGAAAATATAGCATATATAGGATTCAGTGCTACCTGTAATTTCAGGTATCCTTGGGTGGTCAAGGATGGGGGCTACTACACTACACGAACCCCACCTGATTCCATTACAATTTCAGTGTGACCTGTGCTCATGTACACAGCTATTTCCTTTGTAGGGGAGCAACTAACAGTTCATATCACTACACATTCTCTTCCACAAGTTCCTTTTCTAGTAATATGATGATAAAAGAGGCATATCAAAAAGGCCTAAAAGTGCTGCTCAAGTTCATTGAAACTGGGTTCTCCTTTCTGTCTCTGTATTTGCTCTTCTCCCACAATCTGCTTCACCTAAGCGTTCTTACCCATTGTGTGTAACCAGGCACTGCCGCAGTCCCAGCTTGCGGAAAATATCCACTACGATCTCCATGGGTGTAAGGTCAGTCACAGTGAAGGGGCTGAGGTCCAGGATGTTCCGAAGCTTCAAGGTGGGTGGAGTATATGGTGGCATTGGAGGAGAATGCTCAGTGAAATAAATGATGGAAGTGCTCACAACCCCATCCTGTTTCTTTCGAGCATTTTCTGTTTGAACAGAGGAAAAGAAAGGTTGAAAATGGAAGTGCTAGTCCTTCTGGTTCCTAATCAGTCCCCTCTTCCCTCTTTCTTCCCCTCTTTCATGCAGATTTATTGAGTTCCTTATCCCCTTTCTGAAATCCTTACCTATTGAAATAATGAGATCTCTTCGGAGGACAAACCCTACAAGTCTTTGGGACTCCCGGGACACCACCACTGGAAAGCCACTGTAAGTGGTTTCACTGATTATAGTCTCTACATCTTCCACAGTCATACTGTCCTGAGTAAGGACAGTCAACAACGGATCATTTCTGCGGGGTTTCATCACGTCCATTGCCAGTGTCTTATGAGCAAACTCTTCTTTGGCTTCAAGAAAGGGGTATCCATTGAGACGGATGTGGGCATCATAGATGCCCTCCCTCCCAAGAGCATCTGCCACCCACTTGCTTGTCATGGCTGCAGCCATCAGAGGCACAATATATTCCAAGCCACCAGTCAGTTCAAACATTATGACAACAAGAGAAACAGTCATCCGAGTCACCCCACCTGCAAGAAATAGACACAGGTTACTGAAGGAGACAAAGCACAGAATCCATTACATTTGTGGACCTATCAAGGCCCCATCCAGGAAAAGCTTACTTACTAGAAATAATGCTAGAACAGGGTCTCACTGACAACTGTGCAGACCCCAGGAACTGCATTAAAGTAAGGGTACAACAGATACAGCTTAGATATCTCAATTTAGCATAGTATAAGATGATGTTCCAATTTTTTCGTTTGATGTTTCTTTCCCCTAATTATAAAATGGACAATCCATGCTCGCTATAAAAAATTCAGAAAAGATAAAAGTAATTACTCATAAGCTCACTGCCTATCAGTGTTTACTCTGTTTAGAGTAAAGTAAAAATTCTGAATGATATTTTCAATTTTTTTCTATGTATTTTTACATAGGTAAGCTCATACTATGTTTAATTCCCCCTACTTTATGTTGGGAACATTTCACATATTATTACAAATTAAGCATCATATTTAAAAAATGTTACACATATTAATGTTGTATTTAAAGGCTGCATAATATGATGTCATATGGATAAACCATAATTTAATTACTTTCTTAATGTACATATTTAGGTTGATTCTAATTTTTTTAAAGACAGCATCTCATTAGGTAGCCCAGGCTGGCCTAGACCTTGAGATCCTCCTGCCTCAGTCTCCCAAGTACTGGGATTGCAGGTATATGCCACCATGCCTGGGTACTTTTTTTGTTCATATAAATAGGCAGCTATCTTTGTCTGAATTCCTGATTATTCCCCCAGTGTGAGAGAGTAGAATTAGCTTTCTTAAAGTGCTTAAAAGAATAGTAAACCCAACAGGAAATGAATAATCATTTAAAAAATCTCTGCAGTCAATTATGCTTAATATCACTCTTTTTTGTAATAAAGTGGGATTTTATTTCAGCCTTTTTTTTTCTGCTGTGCTGGGGATCAAACCCAGGGCCTGGTATATACTAGGCAAGTACTCTACGAATTAGTCACACTCTTTACTCTTCTTTTGTATGTCACTGGAGAAAGACTTTTTTTAAGTTTTAGCAAGGATTTATTTTAGTACAGCAGGATGAAATAGGGAGAAATGGAGGGGGGAAGCAAGAAATATTTCCCACTCCCCATGCAATAAATGGGAGTAAAGACTCAAGACAGAGACTTCTTTGAAATCAACACAAACACTACTCACCTAAGCAGGCTGCAGCCCCAACCATGGCATACAGGCCAGGCGTGATGCAGTCAGCTCCCTGACTACACCAGCTGTTGAAGATGGCCCAGTCATGGTGGTAATAAGCCAATTGCTCCATTCCTACTCCTAAAAGTCGGCCTGCGATAGCACCAACAGCCATGCTAGGGATAAAGAGGCCAGACGGGATCTGCAAAGAGAAAGCAAGAGATGGTTAGCAAGAAATGGCGTGTGGTTGCTTGGTATATGGTAAGGGCTGGAGGATTGACCCTCTGCGAAGCAAACAGGCCAGTGACAATTTAACTAGGCACTATGCTAGCAAGAGGCTGTAAAGATTTGTGTAACACTACAGGGACTAGGGGTTCTCTGGGACGTGCAGGCAAGAATGACTGCAAAGAAGCTTACCCTGATTCGGGGTCCATCAGGCAAGAGCCTGAACTCTCCAGACCAACACAGAGCTGGAGGCAGAAATTAGGCCTTTCCCAAAGAAAAAGGAAAATAGATGGAGTTTCTTACATATGCAGACATTTCTCCCAATTTTGAATTCTTAGAAACAAAAACCTACCCTTCACTGACTACCACATTCTATGCTGGGTGCTCTACAACAACCCTAGGAAGCAGGTGTTATTATTCCCAAATGACAAAGAACCTACATTCAGAGAGGTTAAGTCATTTATCCAAGGTCAAGATCTAGTAAATGCCAGTGCTGGGATTTAAATGGGATGCTCATAACCACGCTCATATATTGAATCCCAGCCCATCACTCACATAAGAAGGACAGTATGTTTTATAACAGCATAAAAAAGATTAAGCAAATAGAAATTGAAGATGAAATAGTGGTTACAGTCATGGTTAACCAAAAAAGGAAATGTCCTCTCTCTCCCTTCTTAGCTTCTAGGCTATTATAATGAATTATTAATATTATGTACTATGAGAGGGAAATGATGGTAAAGATAACCAAAAGAGCAGATTATTCTTAAACAGTTTGTGTTTGACTTTGGAATGCATTTGAAGCTGGCATTCTGATGGTCTATAAATTCACTTTAAGTAGAACAATGAATCCAAAAGGTGAAAAATTAACACGAAAAGCTTTGAAAATCTTTTCATGGTTTCCATCCTATCCTTGGTCTGAATCTCCATTTCCCTAGAAAACAGAGGGAAATGATCTGGCAGTAGGGTGCTAAACAGAAGAAACAGACAAATGAAAACCTAGGAAGGAGGAGGAAAAAACCTTAATGAAGTTTCCTTGTTTATTCTGAAACATGGAAATTATATCAGATATTAAAATTAAAATATGGCAGCCTGAGGTCAACTTTTAAAAAATTAACATATAATAATTGTACATATTTATTAGGTAGAGTGTGATATTTTGATCCATTTGTACAATACGTAATGATCAAGACAGGGTAATTGCCATATTCATTAATGTGGACATTTGTCATTTCTTTGTGTTAGGAACATTCAAAATCATCTCTTCTCTTTTGAATAAGCAACAACTTATTATTAACTATAGCCACCCTATTTTGCTATAGAAAAGTAGAACTTAATCCTCCTATCAAACTGTACTTTGTACTCACTAACTAAATATTCTCTATCGCCTCCTCCACAGGGAACCACCATTCTACTCTCTACTTCCATAAGATCAAAACTTTTTTAGCTTCCATGTGATAAGCAAGAACATGCTGATATCTGCTTTTGATAAAATATTTTACTATTAACCTGTGAAATGGATCCCACTTGTTAACAAGGAAGCATTGATACCAACTGTAGAAAATATATTTAGCTATATATTGGGTCGAGCCCTATGAAAATGCTATTTTAGCAGTCAAAATGGTGAACTTCATGGGGTCAGCCTAATATTATGCATCACTAAGAAACTAAACACTGCCCCACAAGGACTAACACCGTGGGGGTCAGATATTGTTTTTTGATACAAAGTGCACCCAAATAAATACCTCACCTTCCTTTTTGAGGGGCAAAATATGTGCTGCAGAAAAGGAGAAAGTGTTTCTTCCTAAAATTTCATCATTGAGATTTGCATTTGGCCTAAAACTAGGCTTAGACAACTTGAGATAGAGGGACAATTGTCGAGCTACAAGAACAAATGGGGATAAAAGAGGCATTTGGGGGTAGGGGAATGACCTTGGGGAAGGTGAAGGCCTGGTACCAGGTATCAGGATTGAGGGACACCTTGATTTTGCCCTCCAAAACCCACAGGCACACACTGAACCACTGAGCATCACAAGAATTCCTCACCTTCATGCCAAAGGTGAATATAGTAATGATGATTTTCAGTATGAGTGTCAAAGCCAGCTGCCACATGGCACTGTAGACTCCCATGCCAGCAGGTCTGTCAGGAAGTTCACCACCCTTGCTTGTGTTGAAATGGTTCTCATAATCGCAGAGCTTGGAGGAGTCCAGAAGACCACAGTCATTGAATAGCTCAGAAATGAGCTCACTTGTGCTCATCCGGGTGTATTCATTCGGGAAAGCCAGGATGGCAGTGATGGCTGTCACGATGAGTACCTCTATGACAGGATACTTGCCCAACTGGGTGGTCTTCCGCTTCCGACACCAGGCAATGTTTGTGCGGATAAACAGAGCTCCCCACAGACCGCCAAATATCCCCAGTAGAATGAATGGCACAAGCTCAAAGAGATGCCATGGGGTATGAAACTCCACATAAAATAGAACTAGGCGGCTGTTCCCAAATGGATTGATGGAGCGTAGAGTAAATGCTGCCACCAGGGCAGCAAAGAATGAACGCCACAATGTTTTGAGGGGAAAATAATAGCTGACCTATGAAACAAAAGGTGAGAAATCAAACCAATCAGTATGCAGGAACTGTTTCTTTGAAAAACTGGTGCTGCTGACCTGAGAGGCAAGAATGAAAGCTGTGCACTGCCCAGGGATTTCTGATCACAAGGTAAATAAAGAACCTGATGTGGACAGAGCACTCAGGGACTGCAATGTATGTGGGTATCCGCCCAAATCCCTGAAACAAAAGCACTCGCATGCTCGACAGTTAGAAGTAATTACCTCTTCCAGACTGAATAATACTCCGCCAATAGGTGCCCCGAAGGCTACAGATACACCAGCAGCTGCTGCAGCTGACAAGACCTGCAATCCAAACAGAAAATTGGTGCTAGAGTAACAGTGTTTTCGCACGCCCATCACATTTGAAAGAAATATTAGCGGTTACTAAACATGTTTAAAAAGTCTTTACATGCTCCATGTCACAAACAGTAAGGTTCGCTATTGACTTTGACAGCAAAGGCTGCATGCTGGGTACTGAACACATGCGTGGTTCACATGCTTAAACAGGAAAGAGAGCCTTCCCTCTGCGACTGAGGCATGTGCTTTATCCTAAATTAAGCCCCCCATTCGCAATACTCCCAGTCCAGTAACTGAATTTGAGTTTGGAGACCTACTTATTTCCCACCTGACTGAAGTGCTTACACTGAAGTATTTAACTAGCACTTTGTAAAGGAACATCTTATATATTCTATTCATTTTAGCAGTACTGGGGTTTGAACTTAGGGCCTCACACTTGCTAGGCAGGTGCTCTTACCACTTGAGCCACTCCACCTGGCCCTTCTATTCATTTTAATTGTGGTGAAACATGTGTAACAAAAATTTCCACCTTAACTATTTTTGAGTGTTCAGTAGTGTTAATTACATTCACAGAACTTTTCATCTTGCCAAACTGTAACTCCATACCCATTAAACAAACAACTCCTCATTCTCCCCCTTCCCATAGGCCCCTGGCAACCACCAGATTATTTCTTTCTTTAAAGGAATACTTTTATTAAAATGAGATGCTAAAGAAGGCTCTAATGATATAAAGCTGAACCTCTAATTGGCTCACAGCTCCTTGGGAGCCTCACTGTTCTCACACCGGGTATTGAGAGTTCCCCGTGCCATGTGCCCTACTCCATATCCAGCGATCTATGGAAACGGAAATAGGAAGACGAGATGTTTAAAGGAAGAGAAGGCCTAAGTATGTTTAGGGGTGGCAAAGAAAGGGGCTATGAGAGAAAGGAAGAAGGAAAA